GTATTAAGTAGATAAATCCTTATCCTGGGAAGATCTGTACTATAGTCTAGAGGATTTCATAAGGACACAGTTCAGATAACTATCTGAAGCAGTCTTTACTGAAATATGCTGTGGTCACAAGTCTGTCTCAACAGCTTAGCCTCACACAGTATGCATTTCCATTCTATGCTTATTGTGATGGGCTGTGAGTTCACAGTCAGACAAGCTTGGGCTCACTCTCAGACTTCTGTCTGATATGGGAACCTAGACCAATCTATGCTCAGAGCGTATTCTCATGTCCAGGAATATTGCCAATCTCTTTGACTATAGAGCTGTACAGAGCCACATGTGTGAGACTACCTTGGTTCTAGAAAGATGCTTATCTTTCTGTGGGAAACTGTAACAAATACAAACACCTACTTGACATTTTGAATGACATACTAAATAGTGAATTTCTGACATATATCTAAAGAAAAAAACTCAAGAATTATTCTTCTTAAAAAATAAAAGTTACCTATTGGGGCAGTGGAAAGAATAAACGAATTTGAGAATGGAATGGAGTTTAGTAAAATGTTGCCCACTGTCATGGTGCGACCATTAAACAGTCACTATGGATATCACTGTGGAGAATTCTCAAAATCCTGAAAGTAAGCAATTGTATGGCTCAGCGAAACTATTCATTGGCACATTCCTGTAGGACTTGACATCCTACTCCACAGATAATTTCCCCGTCATGTGCATTGACTCTCAATTCACAAGAGCTAGGAATTGAAAAAAACCCTAAATGTTCTTCAACTAAAGAATAGAAAAAGTACAAGTGGAGAGTGTTTAAGTAGTAAGAAATTGAAGTCATGAAATTTGGAAGTAAATGAGTAAACTTGATAGAAGAACACTATAAAATAGTACAGATCAGGAAAGCTAAACACTACATGTTATTTCATATTTGTGTATCCTATCTCCAAATCTTTATATCTGAGTATATAACCTGAAAGAACCACAGAAGAAACATGTCCTAGTGTGCTTTTTATTGCTGTGATAAAGCCTATGTCCAAAAGTAACATGGAAAGTAGTGTGTATTTGGCTTACATATCCTGCGTCTAGTCTATTGTTGGAAGCCAAGGCAGGGACTCAGGACAGGAAACTTCACTTCAGAACTGAAACAGAAGGCCTGAAGGAATGCTGCTTGCTGGCTAACTCTCTATGGCTTTCTCAGTTTCCTTTGTTATATAACCCAAGGCCCTCTGACTGGAGGTGGCAATGTCCATAGTAGTTGGGCCATCGTAAATTAGTGATTAATCGAGAAAATTACCCCAGTGATGTTATAAGACAGACTGATAAAATTAATTCCCCATTTGGGAGAACTTCTTTCAAGATATGTCTAGGTTTGTATTGACCAATACTGATCCACAAACCAGAGTAGTATAAAGAAACCACACCATTATGGAAGAGAAGGGAGTTAAGACAGGTGGGGTGTAGAACAGAGGTCCTATAAAGAGGAAGTGAAGGGGCTGGAGAGATGGCTCAGTGGTTAAGAGCATTGTCTGCTCTTCCAAAGTTCCTGATGGCTCTGTAAACCACATGGCCATCTGTAAAGAGGTCTGGTGCCCTCTTCTGGCCTGCAGGCATGCACACAGACAGAATATTGTATACATAATAAATAAATAAATATTTTTTAAAAAAAACATCTAAAGTTTAAAAAAAAGAGGAAATGAAAAAAAATAGAAGACTTAAGTGTGGATGAAAAAACAATTGTAGAGAAAATGGAGAGTGATAGAGGGAGGATAAAAAAAGCACTATGGATATTTGAAAAGACAAAAAATAATTATCACTTTATCATTCTAAATAGGCTTATTTAAATGGAGTTCCACTGTATGGGATGATATTGCTCCTGTCAAGAACATCAGACTATCTATCAAAAATCCTAGTTCCAGGCATGTAATGCCTCTCTTTGAATAATTGGCCCTGGTGGTCCATGAGACTACCAAAATAATATAGGCTATTGACATTACCATTAGTTGCTGCCCAAACATGAAGTTAAGACCCTATTGGAAAACTTCATATATTTCAGACATAGGGCATTGAAAATCAAGCTGGAACTGAGTTGGAAGGGTTCTCCCTAATGACTAGATCTTATAGCATTAGAAAGGGGTGTGTAAATTTATGAAAGAGAAATTCAGCTAATAGTCCTACCCAATTATGAAGCCTACAAGGCAGAAGATACAGCCAGAGAAATGCTACAGTAATGGAGTTTTTATCTAATAGCTGTCTAACTGGTTTTAATTCTTCCTGACAGGAGGAACTCATGCATGCATTCTAAATTCCTGTTCTTAAAGTTAGAGAAAATGTTCTTTACTTCTCATCAAAGATATGTCTCCTTTAGGAGGAGACTGAGCTTCCTATGAACATCTACAACATGTTCAGGTGTAATAAGTGACCATGAAGGTGATGTTGGCCAAGCCCATGAATTTCATCTACAACACAGCTTCAGGGAATATTAAATTTTCCCAGGGTTCCCCAAAGATTTCTAGCATCCCCAATCAACAGGAAGTAGATAAGAAATTTATGCACACAATCCAAAATAGATTAGGTATGTTTGTTTTTGTTTAGCTTATTGGTTATATGTTCCTATGGATAATGGTCAGGAGATACATTCGATAATCAGATAATGACATTAGATACAGATTTGTTTTCTAAAAAAGAGAGGGTAAATGTTTTGGGATATTGCTCACATATACTAAAGATTTGTCATTCATACTGGTTTAATAAAGCACTGAAAGGCCAGATGTCAGGCAGGAAGCATAGGTAGCACAAGACTAGAAAATTTCTGAGAAGATGAAAGACAGAGAGTCAGTCACTAACAAGATGTAAAGGAAGCAAATTGAAAATGCCTTTCTGAGAAAAGGTACCAAACCATGTGGCTAAATATAGATATGAATTATGGGTTAAATAAGTTATAAGAGCTAAATAATAATAAGCCTGATCTTATAGGCCAAACAACTTATAAATAATATAAAACTCTGTAGTTCTTTGCAACCACAGAACCAGGCAAAACAGAAAGTTGCATCTACATTTGCGGTCTCTTAATGTATGAAAAACATCTCTACAGGACTTCTTAAACTTCAGAATATCCATTTTGAAGTCGGGCATAATTCTGATGCATCTGCCTTTATATGTTACCTGACCTTTCTCTTTTTCAGCTCATAATATTCTTGCTTTATTCTTTATTTCAAAAGTCTAGTGTTTCAGTTAATATATGTTGAGGGTATTTGTTTTGGTTCAGAGTATTTGGTGTTATAAAAGTACCATGTTCCTTCATAGATATGACTTTTTAGGTTGGGAATATTTTCCTCGATGGTTTTGTTAAATATATTTTCTGTGACTTTTACCTAGATAGAGATCTGCTTTTCCTATTGCTTTAATTCTTAGGTTTGGTCATTCCATGGTCTTCTAGATATTCTGGATGTTTTGAATTAAGAATTTGTAAGATTTGATGTTTTCTTACTGATGAATCTATCTCTTGTATTCTTTTGGTTAAGCTTGCACCTGTGGTTCCTGACCCTTTACCCCATATTTCCATTTCCAGAATTCATTCAATTGGTGTTTTCTTTATTGCTCCTATTTCAATTATGGAATTTTGAACCGTTTCTTTCACCTATTGGATTGTTTTTTCTTGGCTTTCCTGACTTTCTTTAAGGGATTATTAATTTCTTCCATATTTGTTTATTATTTTCTCCAATTGTATAAGGGATTTTTTCATTTTCTTTTAAAGTGTCTTTGTCATCTTTACAATTACCCAGATTGGTAATTGTACATACCTATGTTGATTCTCCTACAATTGGTTTATGTAAAGGCAGTGCCTCTGGGTATACTCTGATGCCACTGGGGCTGGTGTTGAGGTTGATTCTCTATAGTAGTCTTGCCTGCTGTCTGGCTCTTGGGGCTCTTCCTCCAATTGGTGTAGGTGGCAGATGTTCCTCCATTGTCCTCTGATGTGACTGATGATATGGGTGGATAACCTCATCCTCTAATTGGTGCAGGTTGTGTTTGTGACTCTTCATGGTGCTCTGATTCTACTTTTCCTCCAGTCAGTGTAGGTGGGGGTTCTGACTCCAGGGCCTTACAATGCAGCTTGAGTGACTTGGCCACAGGAGACTTTTCTGTTGATGAGCTACTATTTAGAGTTGGGTGAGCAAGGGGCAGAGAATTGCCACATGACCTGGTCACTAGAGAGCTGGGCTGTCCAGGCAGGAGAGTGGGTCCATCCAGCCAGAAGTACAGCCACTTCCCTCTTCTTCCAGTCAGTGCAGATGGTGGCTGTGCTTCTGGGGCTCTCTGATGCAGGTGGGGGAGTGGCCTGGACTCAGAATTGCCTGCTGACTCATTACTTACAATTGTATATCAGAAGTCAGTTACTTTATCCTGTGCAATATGCAGAGCTAAAAATGCAGAGAACAAAAACATTCTCTAAGTTGTATCATCCTGTTCCCTGTTTATCAAAAAACCAACCAAAAAATTAATGTTACACTCTAACTAAAAAAACCCTGTGAATAATTCCATCACTTAAAAAGTCATTCATATTAAAATAGATTGGGGAAAAAAAGTGGGATTTTGTAAATTATAAAAATGTTTCCAGATAGTCCTGGAAAGATGGCTTAGGGGAAAAAAATATTTGTCCTGAAGTTGTAAGGGCCTGATTCAAAATCCCTATTACCAACATTGATGCTGTTTAGTGATCTGCCTGAATTTCAGCACATGAGAATACCTAGAATAGATAAACTAGTATAAAAGGTATGTCTTGTTTCAACTGAAACTAACAGGGTGGGGAAATCTAAGAATAGGCATGACCAGGGGATTAGAGATAGGATCTAGATCAACTGTCAAGAACAGTCTCGTGAAGAGCTGACTCAAAGGGGTGATGCTCACATGACACTTCAGATGCAAGATCCAAGTACAGGAAACCACAGTTCTCTCTGCTCTATTTATCAGCCTTTCTCAAGCACCATTCTCATTGCATTCTCCAGGCTACAGAAGTCTTTCATGGAGATGGCTGACTAAGTGGAAACTTCACCACAGACCAGCTTGCCACCTCCCATATGAAAAATGGAAAATGGGTAAGAGGTTTTTTGAAACCTTTCTCCCAAATATTTTATCTCTTTTTCTTAGTCTGTGATCATATAACTACACCTTGAGGTGGAGAATCCAAAAAGCCTAGGTGTTTCTTAAGAATCAGAGTTACAAATGCTACTCTTTAGCATCGTGCGTTAGCAGACATGACTTCAGGAGATTGGACTCCTATGAGTTAAGGCAGTGCCCACTTCTTTAATTTCTCCTCATTCTTTTCTCATCTCAACTATTTGAATTTTCTGTTATTCTGGCATATTCCTCTACTTGGCAATTCATATACTTACAGGCACCCTCTATATAAGCCAAGTTCTCTCAGTAACTCAGCCACCTGTGTTTCTGGAAATAGGAAATTTCATTTTTGTGTGTGTGTGTGGAAATGCAGCTCTGAAGAAAACAGATGGTCTAAAACTGAGTGACTGAAAAGAATATAATTAAGTATAGTTTATCAATAATATACACATTTATGGAAAATTAAGCATGATGTTAAACCCAACTCCAACCCAAGAAGAACACATGAAGTATATAGATGTACAAACAGTAATAATCATCTGAACCAATGTTGGGTTCTACTGTGGATGCAGGTGTAGTTGTGCTAATTCAGATATATAACTAATTTACTAATTTTTATATGATAATTTGATTTCTGTGTACAATGTACTCTTACTACCCTCCCCTTCCCTCTCTTACCTCCATCTGATCCATTTTAACTTCCTTCTATATCCCTACTAGACCCTTTCCCATATTGATCACTTTTGGTCATGTCTATAATACAGCAAAAGACAAGAGATATGTACTTAATGTTTCATACCTGGAAGGGTGATCAGTTTGATTGGAAACTGATTGCTCTCCGGACATTAAATACAACTTTCCTTGGTCTCCTAGTTTTAGATATTTTCACACAAGTGTGCTCTATTCTATGACAGGTTTAATTTTTCAAGTAAAATAGCACATGGCCATTCAGCTCTGACCATCAGCATTCTTCATGTGCCATCTGCCCTTGACACTTGTCACTACAGTTTGTTGTGTATGGGTTCACTTCTTGTCCTGTTCATTTGGAACTCTTCCTCGGTTTGAATGTCTGTAACCTTCCAGAGGTCAAGGAAAAACCATCATTCTAGTTCATAGAATTAGTTTTCTGTGCTTTAGTCTGTTTCTCAGATCTATGCTTTGCATGAAGAATTCATATGTTTGGTCTATAAAGTGAGTCTCACATTCCTTATAGTTTTCTTTTAGTGCTTGATTGTCCTTTCCCACATTCTGGGCATTTCTGGACTCACTATGTATCTGAGACTGTCCTAAAATCATGGAATTCTTTCTTTTTGTTCATAGAATACCACAAATGAGGTAACATGGATGGTAGACAATTTCTATTATCCTCCACCCTTTGTCTCCAAACCCTGAAGAGAACTTATGTGTCACAATATCCTCTACTTAGCACAGTTTCCACTTTTTTCTTTCTCTCACTTTCCCACATATTAAATATTTAATTAATGAAGAATGGTAGAAATTCAGTTCATTTCATAATTCTATGCCTAATACTTCAAGGCCAGAAGTTCTCAAACTTCCTAACGATACTACACTTTAATACAGTTCCTCATGTTGGAGTGACCTTCCAAACATGAAATTTTTTGTGTTGCTACAATAACTGTAATTTTTCTACTATTATTAACCGTAGTGTAAACATATGATTTGAAGAATCTATTTTCCAATTTGTTTTTTGAAAAGCTATCTTTTCTCATTTTACACGCCAAACCCATTTCCCCCTTCCACTCCTCCTCCTCCTGTTGTCTCCACCTTCTCCCATCCCCATTCATTCCTTAGAGAGAAGAAGGCTTAACATTGGGGAGTAAACAATATCTGGGACATTTTTTTTGAAGCAGGAACAAAGCCTTCCCCATTATATCTAGGCTGAGCAAGGTATCCCTCTAGAGAGAATCAGTTACAAAAAGTCAGAACAAGAATCAGGAATAAATCCTGGTCTCACTTACAGTGGTCCAACAGTGGGTCACATCCATACCAGTGCCATGCACATTCAGAAGTCCTAGTTTGGACCTATGCTGCTTCCCTTATTTTGAGGCCAGAGCTGGAAGGCTTCCATTAGCTCAGGTGAGCTGTTTCCATGGGTATTCCTGTCAGGATCTTGACCTCTTTGCTCATATTCTCACTTGAAACATTTTTTGACTGAACTTTGGGAGCTAAGCCCAATGATCCACTGTGGTTCTCTGCATCTGCTTCTATCACTTGCTAGATGTAGGTTCTATGATGACATGAAGATAGTTAATCTGACTACAGGGTAAAGATAGTTCAGGCACCCTCTCTACTATTGTTTAATATCTTAGCTGGGGTCATCCTTGTGGATTTCTCAGAATTTCTCTAGTGTAAGTTTTTTCCTAGCCTCATAATGGTTCCCTCAATCAAGATGTCTTTCCTTGTTTCTCGTCACTTGTTCTTCCCTATTGACAATGCTCTTTCCTCTAGTTCCATAGTTTCTTCTCTCCTCTTTCCCTTCTATCTTCTCTTCTTTCCCACCCCCACACTCTCAATTTTCTCAACAGATATTATTTATTTACCCTTCCAAGGGCAGATCTATATGTTTCTCTTAGAGTTATCCTTGTTTCTTGGTTTCTGGGGTGGTGGCTGCAGGCTACTTCTCCTTTGCTTTACAGACAATATTTGCCTGAGAGTAGGTACATACCATACTCATCTTTCTGGGTCTGGCTTACATCATTCAGGATGGTTCCATTTATTTGCAGTGCAAATTTCAAGATGCCATTGTTTTTTATCACTGAGTAGGACTCCATCATGTAAATGTACCACATTTTCTTTATTCCTTCTTTGGTTGAGAGACACTTAGGTTGTTTCCAGGTCTAGCTATGACAAATAATGCTACTATAAACATAATTGAACAAATGTCCTTGTAATATTTTTGATCATCCTTTGGGTGTATGCCCAAGAGTAGTATTTCTCAATCCTGCAGGATGTTGATTTATCATTTTTTAAGAAAGCTCCTGTGTGTTGGTGTCAGGTTTCTTTTTATATCCTGCCTTCCTCCAGTCTTCACATCTTTCTTTTCTCACCTTTTGTAAAGGCTGTAACTGTTCTTAGCCTCCAGCTAGGAAGCTTAAATGAATTGGTCAGTTTCCTCCAGCCACGCATGTGACAACTATCCACAGTTAAACTGATCATTCCTGGTTTTCTGGTCCATTTCACTTTTTGTTTTTGCTTTGTGTTGTTATAAAATAGATTTTTGAATCATACACTATATTTTTCATAGTTTTCTTTTATTAAAAATAGATTTTTCATAAAATATTCTGAACACGGTTCCCCCCAGCTGCTCTCAAATTCTTTCCACCTTCTAAACCAGTTGAATCAATTCCCTTTCTTTCCCTTATCAGAAAACAAAGAGGAAACAAAGAAAAAACAAAGAAGAATAGGAAAAAAAACTAAAGAAACAGAAAAAAGAACAAAAGAAAGGGCACAAGAAACACCAACAAATACTGAGATACATACACATTATCACACACACACACTCACACACACACACACACACACACACTCACTCACTCAGGAATCCTAATTAAAACTGCAATTGAAACTAACAAAGACTCTCAAGAAATACAGAAAAAAAAAGGTGCCCAGACAACCATTACAAGACAAAAAAACTTCCGAGTTTACTGAATTGAGCTAGTTTTGTTTTGATCATCTTTTGATGGGTATGAGGGATGCCCTTAAGTATGACTTGTGTACCCAGTGAGATTTTATTGAAGAAAGCTAGTACTTCTGTTTCTATCAGTTAATAATTAGAGATAACTTCTAGGTTAGGAATGAGGGCTAGTGTCCACTTCTTTTAGTGCCCGGATCTCATCTAAGAATTGTACAGGCACTGTTCATGCTGCCGCAGTCTCTGTGAGTTGATATGTGCATCTGTCCTGTTATGTTAAGAAACCTCATTTCTCTGGTGTCCTCCATCCTCACTGACTTCTACACTCTTTCCATCTACTCTTCCACAACATTGCATAGGATGGATATGATGGAAACTTTTCTATAAGGACCTAGTATTCCAAGGTCTCTCATTTTCATCACATTATCCAGTTTAGATCTCTATATTTGTTCCCATGGACTTCAGAAAGAAAATTCACTACTGATTTCTGACCAAAACACCCATCTAGCAATGAGCGAGAAAGTTGATAAGAGTCATTTTATTGCTAAATTTGTAGCAGAGTATGAGTATTTGTTTCCCTTAGTTCACGGCCTATCCAGTCCCGGGTAGATTCCATTTCATGGAATGGCCTTCATTCCAATCAGATATTGGTGGATTGCTCCTAAAACACTTGAGACCTTAGTGCATTAGTGTATTATGCATGGCAAGTCACTCTCGTAGAGCAAAGTATTTATAGCTATGCTTTTGTTCATCTTTCTCTTTGGGTAGTATACAGATTATATTCCGTTACCATAAACACAGGTCAGTAAGGGTGAAGGCTCTAGGTTGGCATCAGCTTCAGTTCTTCATGTTCAATGAGTTATATAGGTGTTTTCTTCAGAAACAGGACCTTATCATCAGTTTGTAAAGAGCAATAAAATGTTTAGAAAAAGTCCATTTGTTTGAGAGTCTCCAATGTGTTTCCTTTTGCCAACAATTCAATTTGGATTAACCCATTCTTGGCACTGAATGTTTAATTTGATGGTAAGAGATGTCTAGTAGTGTCTTTGTCTTCCATGTTATTTGCTGATTCCATTTAGGTTTCTAAAATATATGCATATATTTAAAGATGTTTCTACTCTATCAGGTTTCCATATGAGCCTTCAAAGGATACAGTTATAGCTGTCTCTCCTCATATTTCTTCCCTCTCATTTTAATGATCTGTTTCTACCTCATGCATATGAATCCATTAGTTTGCCTTCTATTTTTTTCCTCTAGAGGAATTATTCCCTCCTTACTTAACCCACACTCTATACATAGCCTCTGTGTTTATACAGATTATAGCCAAATTATCAAATATTTAGCATCTAACATCCCCATATAAGAGGACTGATATGATATTGGTGGTTTTGGCTCTGATTGCGTCACTTGGAATAATTTTCCTAGCACTGTTTATTTACCTGTGATTTTTGTGATTTTGTTTTACAGCTGAGTGATATTCCATTATAAAATGTTCCACGTATTCTTTCTTCACTCGTCCATTGATGAACACATATGATGTTTCCAGTTTCTGGCTATATTGAATAAAGAAGCAATGAACAGGTGAGCCAGTGTCTCTGTAGTAGGATTTAGAGTTCCTTGGGTATATGCCTTAGAGTGGCATAGCTGAAGGTTAAGTCATCTACTCCCAACTTCCTGCTGTACAGAAGTATTTCAGTTTTATGTAGTCCCTTTATTAATTGTTGTCCTTAGTGCCTGTGCTATCAGTGTCCTTTTCAGGAAGTCCTTTCCTGTGCCAGGGAGTTCAGGACCATTGCACCCTTTCTCTTCTATTCAGTGTGTTTGGTGTTATGTTGAGGTCTTTGATCCACTAGGTGTTAGGTTTTATGCAGTAATGATCTTGAGATTGGGCATTGTGATACACCTACACTCTTGCAGATTTTTTATTATTTATTTATTCTCCATTTTTATATCTACCTAGTTTTTTGATTGTGTTCATCTGGAAAGCTTGCATTTCAACTTTAAAACTGTCCTTCCTATTTCTGTAAAAAAAAAACTTGTGTTAAAAATTTGATGTAAATTGTATTAAATCTGCAGAATGCTTTTTGTAGGATGGGCATTTTTATAATGTTGGTCAATTAGCAAGGAATATCGTTCCATCTTTTAATATATTCTTCAATTTCTATTTTTAATATCTTTATGTTTTTATTATACAAGTGTTTCATTAGCTTGGTAAATGTCTTAGGGTTTCTATTTCTGTGTAGAGACAATATAACCATGGCAATTCGTATAAAGGTAAACATATAATTGAATGGCTTACAGTTCATAGGTTCAATCCATTATCATAATGATGGAACTTGACAACTTGCAGGCAGACCAAGTGGTAGAGAATGATCTGAGAGTTCTATATCTTGATATGTGGGGAAGAAGAATTGATCTGAGACATTGTATGTCTTGAGCATACCTCAGACTTCAAAACCCACCTTCCTACTGCACCTATTGGTTTTGTGGGAGCCTAGGCAGTTTGGATGCTCACCTTACTAAACCTGGATGGAGGTGTGTGGTCCTTGGACTTCCCACAAGGCAGGGAACCCTGATTGCTCTTTGGGCTGACAAGGGAGGGGGACTTGATTGGGGGAAGGGGAGGGAAAGGGGAGGCATCTGGGGGGAAGAGACAGAAATCTTTAAGAAAGGAAGAAAGAAAGAAAGAAAGAAAGAAAGAAAGAAAGAAAGAAAGAAAGAAAGAAGAAAAATGAAAAAAAAACCCACCTTCCAACTGACTTGCTTCTTCCAACAAGATTATGATCTTTCCAAGAAAGACATGCCTCTCAATAGTGCAACTCACATTTGAGGACAGTTTCTTTCAGACCTCTGTTGTAGGGAGCATGGGGACCTATGTTCCCTCCCAAAAATCTGGCTTACTTACACTTAAAATAATCACACAGAAACTACATTTGTAGAGCCCATTAGCTCTAAATTCTTATTAGCTAAATTTTGATGTGGGAGTGTCATATCAATCTGTTGATTTCATTGGCTGAGCAATAAAGAAACTGCTTGGCCCTCATAGGTTAGAACATTGTTGGGAGGAGTAAACAGAATAGGATGCTGGGTGGAAGAGGAAGTGAAGTCAGACTCTGCTCTGCGCTCTGGAGGAGAGACGCCATGCTCAGCTCTGCCGGATAGACACGATAGCTCCGCGCTCTGAAGCCAGGATGGACATAGGTTAGAATCTTCCCGGTAAGCGCACCTTGGGGTGCTTACACACATTAGAAATGGGCTAGTCCAGGTGCGAGAATTAGCCTGTAAGGGCTAGGGTTCATGGGCCAAGCAGTTCTTAAATGAATACAGTTTGTGTGTTGTTATTTCGGGCATGAGCTAGCCAAGCGGCCGGGGTGTTGGGGATGCAGCCCCGCCGCCGCTTTCATATTTCAACAAAATTTTACATCTTAATTTAACTCATTTTTATTCATCTGTGTATTGCCACACAACTGTGGCTTACCGGCAAGATTTTAACCAGTGTCCGTCCCAGGCAGGAGATCCATGGTGTTCTCCCTAACTCTTCTTCCCAGCATTCAGTTCTGTCTACTCCACCTACCTAAGTTTTGCCCTATCAAAAGGCCAAGGCAGTTTGTTTATTCAACCAATAAAAGCAACACATAAACAGAAGGACCTTCTACACCAGACCTCCACAGTTAGAGTTATTCCAAGATATTTTATTTTTTGAGAGTATGTGAAAGATTTTGTTTCCCTGATTTCTTTCTCGGTCCATTTGCCATTTGTATACAGAAGTGCTACTAATGTTCATGAGTTAATTTTATATTGAGCTACTTTGCAGAAATTGTCAGCATTAAAAGTTTCCTGGTAGAATTTCTGGAGTAATGGAGATGTTTTTGAAAAACAATGGTCCCATTAGGCTCATATATTTGAATACTAGGTTGTCAGGGAATGTCACTACCTAAGCAGTATTAGAAGGCTTGGCTTTGTTGGAGGAAGTTTGTCAGTGAGGGTAGACTTTGAGGTTTCAAACATTCAACTTGTACCAGTATCTCTCTCTTCCTATTGCCTGTGAATCAAAATGTAAAACTCTGAGTTGCTTTTCCAGCATCATGTCTAATTGTATGCTGCTATTCTATAGCCATGATAAAAAAGGATTAAACCTCTAAAACTGTAGCAAACCCCAATTATATGTTTTCCTTAGGTAATTATCTATTCCAAGTAATAGAACTCTGAGTAAAACAGTCATTTATGAATACAATTCTCTCATTTGAAAATAAAGATATTTTGATGTTTCTTTCAAATTGGTTTTTTGTTCACGAACTTCTGTTGTCTAATTTCTCCAACTCAAATTTGAAATACTATATTGAATATATATAAAAAGAGTGCATAATATAGTCTTATGTCTTAATTTTGTGGAAATGATTTGAGTTGCTCTCTTTTCTAGTGCATATTTAGTGTGAGCTTTCTTATTATAAGTTGTATTATTTTGATAAATGTCTCTGGTGTCCCTAGTCTTCTAGGAGATATTATAAAGAGTGCTGGATTTTTACAAAGCTTTTTATGCCTCTAAGGAAATGGTCATGTGGTTTATTCCTTTCTATTTTGTTTATATTGTAGATGCATTTTTTAAATTTTTGTATATTGAACTATTCTTTTATCTCTGGAATGAAGACTACTTGATCACCATGGATATTATTTTTGATTTATCCTTTTTTATTTATTCTTAACTGTGACTTCTGAGCATTTTGTTAAATTTTTTGCATCTTTGTTCATAAATGAAATCGGTCTGTCATTCTCTTTCTTTTTGGGTCTTTGTGTGCTTTGGATATCATGGTTACTGTATCCTCATACAAAGAATTATATAATGTTCATTCTGTTTCACTGAGGAATAGTGGCATTATTTTTTGAAAATCTCATACAATTCTTTGCTGTATCTATCATGTCCTTATCTTTCTTTTAGTTTGGAAACAATTATTCACTTCTTATGTTGTAGGAGCCATTGGTATCTTTAAGTAGCTTCTCTGATCATAATTTACCTATGGTAGGGGTATTTATAGAGATAATTTCTTTTTCTTTTAGTTTACCAATTTCGTGAAGTATACATTTTTTAAAGTATGTCCTTATGATTGTATTTCCTGATGTCTGTAGTGATGCTTTCATTTTGTGGCGGATTTTGTGAATTTGGTTATTTTGTCTTTGCTGTTTATTTAATTTGGCTAATGGTTTATCAATTTCAGGGACTTTTCTCCAAGAATCAGGTCTTCATTTCATTGGTTCTTCTATTATTTTATCTTATATTCTATATTTCAGCTCAAAGCTTGATTATTTCTTGCCATCCATTAGTTACTTGCATTACTTCTTTTCTTTTCATTAGAACTTTCACTTAAGGTTCTAAAATGTGATCCCTCTAATTTTACTGTAGGTATTTACTTCAGTGAAGTTGTCTCTTAGAAGTACCTCCATTATCCCTCATAATTTTGGCATGTTGTGTCTTCAGTTTCATTCAGTTCTAGAAAGTTTTTATTTCTTAATTTCTCTCTTGAATCACTTCTCATTCAATAGTGCATTGTTCAGTTTCCCACAATTTTGGAAACTTTCTATTGTTCATATTCAGCTTTAATCCATAGTTGTTAAAGAGAATACATGGTATTATTTCAATTCTCTTGTATCTGTTGAGGCTTGCTTTATGTCGACGTAAGTAGCCAATTTTGTTTCTTTTATGTACTTGTATATTCTTGTGTTTGATGGATAAATGTATAGAATGGCATTAGCCTCTGGTGGCTTTCTACTTTGAGAAGTATGCAGCATCCTTTCTTAGAGCTTCTGTTTAGTTTTGGTTTCAAGATTATTTTGCCAGATATTAAAATGTCTACACCGGCTTGCTTCTTGCGTCAATTGTATCAGAATATCTTCTTCCAATTTTTACTCTAAACTGATATCTATCTTTGATAATATTGTGTGTTTCTTGGAGGCAGTAGCAGGACTGTTTCTGTTTTTTTAATCTAATCAGTTATTCTGCTTTTTTGAAGATTGAGAAAATTGATATTGAAAGCTATTAATGAGCAATTTTTATTGATTCTTACTATTTTGTTGCTATGGTATGGGTCCTCCTCCATTCATATTTGATTATCTGGTCTTTTTGTTTGCCTTGTTGTGGTTAATGTCCTCAGATTGGTGTTTTCTTCTACCATCTTCTGTAGAGCTAAATTTGTAGGTAGATACTGATAAAATTTGGTTTAATTGTGGGATTCTTTTTCTCCATCTATTATGATTCCAATTTTTCTCAGTATAGTAGTCTGTACTGAAATCTCTGGTCTCTTAAGAGTTTGAAAAATATTCATCCAGGTCTCGTAAGAGTTTGAAAAGTATTCATCCAGGCATTTAGTATCTCCTTTGAAAAATCAGGTGTTTTTCTAATGTTTCTGCACTTAAACAATGTTTGCTTGTTTTGTTGTTATTATTCCCTAGGAAATTTTTAAAATTCTTTCTTTATTCTGTTAACTTAGTGTTGTGAATATTATGTGTTGTGGGTTATTTGTTTTCTGGTACACTCTATTTGTAGCTTTTTATACTGCTTGTATCTTGACAGACCCTTCACATTATAG